CTTCAAATATCTTGAGGCTACATCCTAAGTGAAATAAAATTGTCTTATATTCTCAATAAGTTCAGTCTTTTCTCAATGCGAAGTATTCTTGATATCCTGTAGTGTTGATTCTCAGGCAATTTTGATGGACAGTCCTCCAGCTACTGTAGTTTCATGGCAGAGCTTCTGGTAACAAGCCTAAACTGCATGTGTGCTATTTTGAATTGTAATATCCTCAGCAGACAATCTAATTTTTGCAACTGTAAAGAGTATACATGTGTATAATTCTCTCATCCTTTTTGATTCCTTGAATGTCTTATCATCAGTAATGGAATTTTGGCCTCGGTGTCTTTTACCTACTTTTCAAAATTTTTACATTCGAGTTTCAGTTTTTCAAAGGTACCCAGAACATTTTGGTCTTTGCAACTACACTGGACATTGAAAGACTATGTAAGTGCTTAGACAATTTGGTAATTGTTTTAAGAATTATTATTGGTGTGTGTGCATATTTGTGTATTAGCCTGTGTGTGTGTGTTTACAATCATATGGTAATGGCACATGTACAAGGTCAGCAAGCAACTTTTAGAGTACGTTTTCTCTTTCCTCCTTTATCTGGTTCCACAGATAAAACTCAGGTCACCAAACTTGTGCAGCAAGCACGTTTGTCCCTGAGTCCTCTCACTGATAATTTAGGAACTCTGATGTCTTCTAGAACTTGAAAGATGAGAGGATACTATTTTTTTCTTGAATCATTTTTTCTCTTTTGATTTGCTTTTGGTTCTTGCCAGCATAACAAAATTGAATACATGCTGGCAAGATGGCTCAGAAGATAAAGATACTTGCAACCAATCCCAAAGACCCGAGTTGGATCAGTAGGACCCACACAGTGGAAAGCAAAAACTGATTCCCTCCATACAAATGCTGTGGCATTAGCACACCCACCCTTCTTCTCCAAAAGTAAATGAAGTGCAATAAAACTGTTTTCAGAAATTGAATACAACTGTCTATTGCGGTTCTTCCACCACCAACAAAATGTTTCCACAGAAAATCTAATTTTAGCAGGAAATACCACCATTGTGACCCGGAACAAGGTCAAACTGGGTGCCATTTTGGTCTCACATCAAGCAGTAGAGTCACAATGTAGACAGATGCTTCTGGAAAATTCTGAGGACTGCATGACTCAGTTTTTGTTTAAACATTCTTGTTTGTTTGTTTGTGTGGGGATAAGATATGGTTTACCTTGATGGATATATTTCCAGGCTGGTTCACTAAGTGGTTATGTCAGGATAGCAACTCAAAGATAGAGCAGCTTTAGTCTTAACCTCCCATGGTTCTTAGCAACTCTTGACCACACATCTATACTGTTTCACCTTACCAGTGGAAGGAAGCAAGTCCTGAAAGATGCCTGTGAGCTGTATCTGGAGAACACATACATACATGCTGTAGTGTGTTGGTTTAACTAGACTTTTACAGAAATACTGGTATCACCAATTTTCTTGGGTTGGCTATTTGAGAAAAAGTATACTGTAACTGGACGGATCAATAATGTATGAAAAAGAAGTAACTTGTTAACTGTCAAATTTTAACATCTCTGAAAAATTATTAGATGATTTTCAAGACTTTATAACCCTTGTCTAGCAATCCCTTTTATCTCCAGAATCAGAAAATGCCATTTTGGCCGTCTTAGAGGTACATTGGCGGCTGGCATTGCTGTTTTGGAGTATTTGATGTCTGCTTTGTCCACTCACTAATTGCATGGGCCAGATGTCAATAACTCCAGTGTCCATTTTTTTCTGTAAAGTGGGGATAGTAGTGATCTTTACTGAAGTATTAAACATAGTAATGAATACAAAATGCTTACGGTCCCAGGCAAACAGGTGTTTGAAAAATTTACTACTTTATTTGTGTGTGTGTGTGTGTGTGTGTGTGTGTGTGTGTGTGTGTGTGTGTGTATGAGAGAGAGAGAGAGAGAGAGAGAGAGAGAGAGAGAGAGAGAGAGAGAGAGAGAGAGAGAGTGTGCATGCACCATAGTTTGAGTATAGAGGTCAGAGGACAACTTGTGGGAGTCAGTTCTCTCCTTCCATCATATGGGCACCAGGGATTGAAATCAGGTTATTAGGCTGGTCAGCAAGTACCTTTACTAATGGAGCCATCTTTCCAGTTTTTAATGCAACATATACTGTGTAACTTTTTATTATAAGGTATATATAAAGCATCACTTTAACCATTAAAAAATTATGGGGCATTAAACACATTCGTATTGTTTTCTCATCTTCCCAAACTTAAACCATATCCATTAAATAATAAATAGCTCATTTCCTCTGCCCCCTGTCTCCTAGGAACCATCATTCTCTTTTCTGCCCCCTATGAAATTGTGATTGGCTTATTTCACTTAGTATCTCATATTCAAGGCTCATCCCTGACGCAGCAAAGGCATTTCTTTCCTTCTTAAAGCTTAATGATATTGTATTATATGAACACATGCATATAATAAAATCAAAGTCAATGAGAGATCCATTCTAAGCTCCTGAGAAAGTTTCATTCAGTTATTGGCTAAACAGCATCAGTGTGGATCATCATCCCTTCTTAACTGACCAAAACAGTGTCAGTGTAGATCATCAACCCTTATTGCTGGCTCAGACAGCATCAGTGTGGACCATCATCCCTTCTTACTGCCTCAGACAGCATCAGTGTAGATCATCATCCCTTCTTGTGTGATGAGAATTTCAGGTATAGCATTTTGAAGTCAAGTCTTAGTCTTTTTTTTTTTTTTTGTCTCTCCTCTAGTGTTTATTTTAAAATCTCAGGATAAATCTCACTTTTAAAAAAATAAAGACTAGTAACACAAACTGTTCCTATTCTGATACATAGTAAAAAGGTGGGGTGGGAGGAGATTTGCAAAAACAGAAGGAAACAGTTGGAAAAATCAAATTTAGGTTAGAACAGAAAAAATTGACCAGGAAAAGAAGACTGTCCAGAGCACGGCAAGCCATTGTGATAGACTGTATTCACACAACCTCACCATGTGGTGCACGTAATAAAGTGTGTATTCACATGCCCTCATGGTGCGGTGCTTGTGATAGACTGTATTCACATGCCCTCATGGTGCAGTGCAGAACAAGCTCCATAAACAAGAAGGGTCTTGGGATGATTGTTCTAAGTGCCTCAACTACTGAAATATGATGCCTGACTTGGATTGATTTCCTAGCTTTGGTAAAAATAAAACAACAATAAAAGTATTATTCATACTAAAATACTCAAAAGGTCCACATGGAGAGAAATAGACCTCCAGCCAAGAGCCAACACCACCTTGCCAGCCACAATGGCCACCGTGGAAGTGCATCTTGAAACTCTCCTCTGACCATCCAGTTTTCAGACAATGACAGACTCAATTGTTATAGTACTACGACCAATGAGAGACTAGAGCCTACAAGCATATAAGTTTGTACTTCCCAAATTCTTGATTATCAAAAGCCATGAGAATCAAGAAATGATTGGTGGTGTTTTAATTTTTGTTATGCAGCAATTAATGACTAATATTGTTATTTTTTCTTATTTTCACTCATTGGATAATGATGAGTATGAAGCAAATGTTACTATCTTGAAAAGATTTAGGCCAACAGGCACCCAAAGCCATGGAATACAAACAGAACTCGCATAGGTCAACTCTAAAGTCTCTTTATTCTCATGAATATAAACCACATAAAGGTGAAAGAGGGTAGTTGGAGTGTCAAGTGGACAATTAATTTAGTGTCAGGAATTTATAGACAGTTTTATGGCTTGGATGTTTCCCCGCTTCAAAAGTCATGTTGAAGGCAATCACTACTGTAACAGCACTTGGAGAGTGGGTCTTCAGAGCTCTCTTCTCACGGTGATGTTGGTCAATCTTATTATGAAGGAGCTGACTTTGCTTCAGTTCTTCTGCCCTCTGCCTTGTGGTGGATGATGCAGCAAGAAGGCCCTTGATAGGGGTTGGTACTGCAACACTGGGCTTGCCAATCTCTAGTTTGCTGAACCTACACATTTGTGTTTGTAAATCACCTAGTCTTGGGCACTGTTTTAACAACACAAAACTGACCACACAATTTAAAGGACAGTGAAATGTCCCATGTGAAAACCTGGCATGAGAGGATAAGTCATCATTCAGGAAGAGAGGGGAGTTTTTCTGTGACAGCCTGACATCTTTCCTTAGGTCCTTAGGCTGCATAAGCCTCCTCCCTTCTAAGATGCCCTGATTGAAAGAACAACCTTTAGAATCTTCTTTCAAACAATAGCCCTAGAAAGATTCTCCACAAAGGAGGTCAGTTCAATATGATGAAGAAAACAAGCAGTCAGGGGGCTTTGGTTTTCTGCTAAGAGAACAAGACTCAGTCTTGATGTATTTCATACTCTGGGTATAGTTTTCAGTGAGTCCACTGAACTTCAGTGGTTTTCTAGAGATAGAGATTTTCTCCATTGATGTCATGGCAGATAATGTGGCATATTTTGGCAAACGTATAAAAAAACTGTAACACTGAACAAATGAGTTGATCAAAAACAATTATAATTTTTGTAGAGATATTTTTGATTTAAACTGTGGGCTTTTATGTTACTTATAAAATATTGCTATACTTTATATTATTGCCTGAAAAAAAACCCAAAACAAAAAAACAAAAAACTTGTACCTCTGCTTGGTGCCAGAACACATGAAATTATATTCTGTTACATTTCCCTAGTATATAATTTTCTACCTGTAACCAATCCCTGTGTGAGAAGTTTATGTTCTAGTGGTGCTGTTTTGGATAAAGCCTAGTTGGATTTTCATCTGTTGTTAGTCTTCAGTGTTTAGCCAGATTGCCCATTGTTGAGTAGGTGGATGGGGAGAAAAGGACACTATATGATGGACTTACTGAGACCCAGCTCTTGCACCTCTACTTCCAGTAGAATTGCTGGAAATGAGCAGTAACATAATTCAGTAACATAAATTAGAAATAACCACATCAAATGGGGCTGTGGAAACAAAATCTCCACCACACACCAGATGGACATGAAACCAAGATTTATTAAAATACCCTTAACATATTCACAAGTGGTGCAGTGAATGCAATTCTCTGGAAATTCAAAAAAATAGTGTTCTGTCTCTTAAAACAAATCAACAGAATATCAATAGATTAGGATAAATATAATCTATCACAGAGATAGAATTTCTTTCAATAGACAATCTAAATTTTTCTAACCAATATATATTATGTACAAAAATACACTTGATATAATGATCAAGTAGTGTCAAGAAGGAAAAAATATATATACACACATATTTTCATTATGTACAAGTCAATATCGGTTACCTCACCTTTTCTTTTTAAAAATAAATACTTCTTTTGGTTGCAAATTACATTTACAGATTCAACTCATGAACATTTCTCAGTGTTAGTTGACAAAATTAAATATGCAATTAGAAATACATATTATTTTTAACTTAAAGGAAAAATACCCAAATCCAGTTAGCTTATTATGCTTAAAAACATCCAAGAGCATGTAATATAAGGTTTCATGTCTTTAAAGTGCCTTCTCCTTTCTAAAGCTGTCTTTATTTTATTGGTTAAAATTCCTTAAAGTTACACCTTACAGATTAGCCTAATATTTGAATAGAAAGGCTGGATTTTACCATGGCAAAATAATCAACTATGCAGGACATGCTTACACTTTGTATGAGTGCTTTTAAGAGCATAACAGTTACTGTTAATCCGAACATAACCACAAAATGTCAACATCTCAATTCAGATTGTGGTAGATGTTTGAGTCATGAGCAGTAGTAAGAATGGAGTGGCAATAAGAAGTCTTATGATACAAAATGTTTGCACAGAGGTCAATTTGTCCAGCGGCGCAGGAAGCTGAGAGTACAAGATTTAGCCTTGCAATAGCTGATGATCTGCTGTGATGGATCAAAAGTGTTCTCTACTTAGATAGTTTAAGAAATCTGCGAGAAACCAAAAACTAGAACACCCAACCTTTTTAATAAAGTAGAACAAAATGAAAAAAGAAATGTATTTTCCACCTCTTTTATGATTTTCCCCTATTTGCCTAAGTGATGAGGTGATGGTGACATTAGCAAGAGGCAGTCTCAGCAGTGTGTCTCACACAGGCTCCTTGGTGACAGTGGTGCTCTTGTCCAAACACTGAATGCTGGAGCACAGGGTGTGAGAGGGCTCAGGGATATTCAGTATCTATGATGTAGATGTAGAGAGTAGCTGGGTCCAGGGGAAAGCTGCAAAGATCCCTTCAGAAGAGAAGGGCTGTGGTATGTAAAGGAAGTGGAGGCCAAAGATGAAGTATGGGATAGAGGAAAGCTAGATGATGCTAGTTGCTGATATGGCTTGTGAGCAGGCATAGAGGAAACAGAAAGGTCCTTGGGCAAGTCATGCTCGTAGAAGAATCTGAAGGTGGAAGTTACTCAGCTAAACACAGGTCTGTTTCATTGGAGTACCTGCTTTTTCAGCACAAAGTCTGCCATTGAGCTATAACAACATGGAACACTTCTATTTGTCTAATACAAATGACTCAAATTTCTATTAAAAAGCTGCCGCCGGTACTATCATGGCAAAGGCTGTGCAAAAATACTGCACTGGATTTGCTCAGTTGTTCTTCTCTCCTGTTTCCTGGTTTTCCTCTGTCATCCATGCTGCTTGAGATCTCAGAAGGTGAAAAGGAGACACTGCAAAGGTCATGTGACTCTTAGGAAGCAGCCTCCATGATCCCTGGTGGTGCTAAGAAAATTAAACCAAACCAAGCCAAGCCATAAATGAGTTAAAGTGACTTCCATTTCTGTAGCATCTGACTTCTATTAGGATGCTAACTGATTTCAGAGAGTTTCTAGACATGCAGGCCAATGCTTATTTTCCAGGCAAAAACATGATCCCTAAATCAAAGTCCAGTGAGACTGCTTCCCACACTTGTCTGGATTATAATTCAAAGATGGGAAAAGACTGTGATAAATTGATGACATGCTTCCACTAAAGGTTCTTAAAAATTATCCAGTGTCTAATTTGTAAACTTTCTGCCTTTCAGAGAGGATCTTAGATAGTTTTCTCAAAGGGAAATCCTTTTTCCTTAAATCACATATCCTCCAATTAAACACTCAGTAGTCAGTAGGACAGTACGGTCATAGTATTTATGTCTCAGGAAGTTATAAAACAGTAGAATTATAAAATTAATGATTTTAGAAGAAACCTGTTCCTTTGGTGGACCCCACAAATCCTATTTAAATCACTGCAGACAGGATCATCTCAAGAGTTTCTTCTTTGTTCATAGATTTGTTTCCAAGAGCAGTGAGTGCCTTCCAAGCTCTGTGCAGAACCACTAGCGAGACTGATGGTCAGATATGAAAAACTTAGCTTATACCTAGAGAGAATTGATAGGGAAAAGGGGCTGGAGAAATGGTTAACAGCACTTGCTGCTCTTGCAGAGGATCCAGATTCAGTTTCTGGCCTCTACACAGTGGCTCACAATTATCTGTAACTCCAGTTTCAGGGGATCTCACAGCCTCCTCTGCAGCTTCTTCAAGCACCAGGCACACAGGTGGTACACATACATACATGTAGACAAATGTTCATACACGTAAAATAAAAATAAGTATATCCTTCTTAAAAAGAGGAAAAAAAGATATTTGTAGTTCATAAAGCATACCTACAGTATAAGTATTCTAAATGTTTTTTGGCCTTTCAGTGGAAGAGCAGAACATTTTGTGCATGCTGGATGCTCCCTTTCACACCTTATAGTTATAGACTAGAATGAAAATCCATCCCATGGATTCCCAGAATTGTTCATTTCTGAACATCTATCAGCCATGCTATGAGGAAGCAAAGTAACCTTCCTGGATGCTCAGTGGTCTACAGGGCTGGGCTTTTGTTTGAGAAATATGAAGTTAGGAAGCCAACTTAGGTGAACAATTAAAAATACCTTGCTTTTATAAGATGGAAGTTAAAGAAAACCCTTGAAGAGAACAGTGGAGGGGAGCAGGTATGACTTTGGCAAAGAGCTCCTGATATACACTGGATTTCTTACTTGATATAAGTATAACTCACTGGAAACTCACACTATTTATGGGATGAACATTCTCTCCAAGATATTTTTACAGCATCAGAGGTGGAGAGCACAAGACATTCCTAGGGTAACACTCAGCCTAGGTGACAACCCTAATGTGGTAGAGCCTGCTTATCCCCTGTCAAATCCTTGGGATGTTCATTTCTGCCTGAGCCTACTGACTCATTTGTGTTTTGACAGCCCAGGGCTGTCATGTTGCATAGGAACCATGAAAAATACCATGGAACCATGGAAGCAGTTGGATCAGCCTCCAGGGGATTCCTTGTATATATGAGACTAAAAACCAGAAAATTATCTGAGGACAGATGGAGTTTGTAGTATGAGGTATGTAGTATATGGAGCTCATGAGACACAGTCAGTGAGCCACCATTTTAATGTCCCCATGTATCCAAGTAAGTTGTTAAGTATTCAAATTCCCCCAAATGTGATACAAGGCATTGCATTGGAACAAACAAGGCTACTGAACTGGCTTCGTGTGAAATGTGATGAAACTCTTTTACATCCCCCATTTCCCTGCAAAGTGTTATCTTGAAGCAGTTTGGTCGATTGCCCATCCTTGTGGAGGGGAGTGGAGAATGGTGAGATTCATAATGAGGGCTCCTACAGCTGACAGGGAAGCAGGAATGACACAAAGTGTGCCTCTTGGTCACACACAGCTGCATAACCGAGCCTGGCTGTGCCCGGATCCAACTGTCACCAGCATTAGGAACGCTTGTGTAAGTCTAAAAGGGGAAGAGCTACTGAGTTGAGTTTTGGGGGGTGCTTTTCTTTAAGTCAATTCTGGATCGGTCTAAGCAGCTTTCTATAGCTGGATGACAAATCATAATATTTGATATTATCTGCCTTTTGTGAGAGGTATTTTTTTTTCTTTACAATCCTATCAGTTTGGAAAGAGACTTGGTCCACCGGCGTTGCAGATTACCTTATGCAGATGAAGCAGCTGACATGGGTGACAGTTCATTGCCTTATCCAGGTTACTCTACTTAGCTGCAGGTCCTTCAAGCCGGAATAGCTAAACTATGAATTGTAGTATTCGTGGTCTTCTGACATCCCACTCAGTTATAAATTCCCCTTAAGAGAATTCAGAGGAAGGACGTAGACACATCCCACTCTAGAATGCCATGCCTTTCTCTACATAGCTTTTTCAAGAATAGGTTTCTCAAGGCAATCCTAGACTCTTTCAAATCCATAGTAAAAATAGCCACCATAAGCTGCAGCCTTAGGCAGATGGTTAGCAATTTTGCTGCCTCCCACCAGCCATCACAACCATTCAATTTCATACATGCTTAGTTAGGACTGCCACAACTTTGGATTTCATAGTATGCCCCTGTTTTTGTGGTTCAATAATTAAACTTATTTGTAGATTACTAACTCTATGGAAGCATATGTTTCCTATCATCTTTTAGTATTATTTTTCTTTGATAAGTGCAGGTAAAATAAAACAAAAATGAAAATCAAGGAAAAACATACTCCTCACTAGTGATTTTTAACACAATTTAAACTACTTTGTAAAATGAAATATCTGGGAAAAGGTATACTTTTTTATTTTTATTCACTTATCTTGCTGTATCATGTCCCCACTTGCTTTTTAAGATTTATTTTTATATTTTAATTATGCGCATATATGTAGGTCTATGTATGGGTATGTGTATGTCTCTGTGTGTATTCTGTCCATGGAGGACAGAAGAGAATGTCAGATTCCTCAAGATAGTTATTGTGATTGTGAGTCACCCAACAAAGGCAATGGAATCTAAACCCAGGCCATCTACAAGAACAGTATGTGCTCTCAACTACTGAGCCATCTCTGCATCATCCTTACCCCAACTGGTTTTATCTTTGACTTTTTAAATGGGGGATATGTACTACAAAATAGAGTTAGGATATTAGAAAACAAAAAGTTGTCCTCAACCCCCAACAGTATGGTTTAGTTCTCAACAGCCTGTAAGATCTGCTGTGTTCTTGAAGGACAGAGAGACAGTGCCACCTGTGATGACTCATGAACATCTTACTTAGAGACCTGAGGCGGCATCAACCCCACTGAAAACTTCCTGTTCCCACTCATCCCATCCACAGGATCCATAAGGCTCTAGGCTTATGTAGACCTCACAGAATGCTGAGATGACTCCTGGGGTACAGACAAAATTGCATTTTTCTTTTGCACTTCAATACTAACAAGGACACCAGGGAGAACAGGATGTCTACAAGTGGAATTTGCCTTGTTGGTTAAGTTCTTTGCTCTTCTTCATAGTTACAGTGAAAATAAAGGAAACAATATACAAAAAGCAACAGGTAAAGAACAGTGACACCAAGGCATTCTAGTCATGTTAAGTTTCTTATTTGATTGTCTATTTTATCTCACCCTTTCATTTTGATTAAAATAAACCAAGTGACCATGCTCCTTCCTTTGGGCCACTGAAAGACAAGTAGCACCGGCATGGGAATGGCATCTGTGACTCAGCGGATGCCAGCGACCCTTGCTTCACGAGGTCTGCACTTTATCTGGCTACGGTTCTGCTTTCATTAGCTTGCATCTAGTATCGGAGTGTCCCTGAGTCGGGGGCTGATGACTGGCAGGCAGATTTCCAGGAAGACACTTAAGGTATCTGGCAAGTTCAAAGGTTCTAGAAAGTTGCTGAGGCAAGAGGCAGGCCCCATGTGGCAGCCAGAGGTAGCCAGATCAGCAGGGGATGCAAGACTCTGAGTAACTCTAGACTGTCTCCACCAAGTAGAGAAGAAGCACATTCCTTCATTACATCAAGGCGTCAAAACACAGTCTTCAATATAATCCTCAGTTCATGCCCAGTCCTTTTTCTTGTTTTCTCACCAGGGAAGTTCAAACAGTGGTGGCTTAGGGAGAAAAATGTAGGCAAAAGGTCCCAGGTGGCTTTTCTCCGTGATTTAAGGGCCAGAGTTAGAAAATACAACCTGTCCTGACAGTCCATTCAGAGGGTAATACTAACACAACCACTTTGCTTTCACTTCACTGTAAAGAACTTTTCTCTGATCATAAGTTTCAGGACAGCAAACGGTCCCTGGCTACCATTCTTCATATGCTTATGAGTCAAAGCCATGATAAAAGGTAGCCAGTAACATTTGCTCTCCTGGAAACTGCTGGGAATGGTGGAATACAATGTAGACCTCATCTGCAAGTCTATACAACATTCATTCACTGTCCACAATGGATCTGAAGCCACACAGTCCCTTGTCCAAGGGAGCATGCAATCCAAGTCTGTCCCTGCCCCCCTGTTTCTATTAGAAGTTGGTACAGAATCTCTTACTTACTGGTCAGGAAGCCATGTTAACTGAGTGGTCCTCTCTCAATGTCTAATGTTCACTCCCAGCATCACAACTTAGTCTCCAGAATAAGGTTTTTGGTTATCATTCTCTCTCTCCACCCATGTGAAATTTTATTTTTTTCCTTTTCATTATATCATCATTGTCACCATAAAACATCATTTCCCTAGTCTGGGAGACACACAGTGTTAAACCTCTTCAAAACCAATTCTGATAAGTTTCAACATTTTGTTCTGATAAGTTTCAACATCCATAGGATCTTGGTACAACCGGATCAAGATTAAGACCAATAAAAAAAATTAGTGTGTGAGGAACAAGGCTTGAGTTCTCTCAAGGCAAACACTATAAAAGATGTACCTCTTTTTCCATGATGGCTATACATTGGAAAGCTTAGCATTTCAGCATAAAGTAAAATGTGAAACATTTTGGTACATCTTCTGATTCTTTTATAGGATGGACTTTGGACTTCCATAAGAAACAACTATCAAATATTCCTGTAACATTCCCATACATAGCATCGCATTGTTCCTGTGGATTAACAAGGGACTTCTCAAGGAAGGCACAGGTACTTCCTACAGAGGACCTCAGAAGGAGATAAGCAAAGCAGATGTTCTGTAACAGATCTGTCAGGAACCCCCTTGGCACTTGGGTCTAAAGGAGCACTGGGTGGCCTCCTCTTGCCCTGGAATTTCCTTCTGTTTCCGTGTTAGCTGGTGGCCACACTGGCTTCCTTCTGACGCAGTCTTTCTTTCTGTTGTTTAAGGAAGGAAGCAGAACCATTGTCATTTCTACCTTTAAAAATTTGTTTTGCTCAAGTTTTGGTAACTTTCTCAAATTCTGGTCTGAAATGGTGAGTATAATCATACTAAATACCCTAGAAATTAAAGTATTTCTACCATGTTTACCCCTTGGGCTCTACAGTTACCTGATTCTATCAACCTAGCACACAGCATTGAGGAAGAGATTCCCACTGTCACACTACTGCTGTTCCACACCACAGGGTCTAAACCTGCTGGAATTCATGGAGGTAAGAACAGTAGCTAATATTTCCTGAACCTCTATTATGTAACTGGTACTCTACATGCTTTTCCCTAGTTTCCCCAAAATGGTATCATCATTGCCCCCTTTCCCTTGAAGAGGATGAAGCAAAGTAACCTTACTAAGTCTTAGGGCAATGCTGAGATTTAAACCTCATTTCCCAATAATCCTGGGTTCCTAATTACATAGCAACACTGACAAATGTCTGTACTATGGTTAATGTTAATTTTCTACTTGACAAGGTCTGGAATCACCTGGGAGCCAAGCCTATTGGCACATCTGTGAGGGTTTATTTAACTTCTGGGCACAGCTATGCCAGATTATCTTGAGTCGGATAACTGAGGCAGGAAGACCTGCCCACCATGGGTGGTACCATTCCCTGGGATCGGATCTTGGATTATGTAAAAGGAAGACAGTGAGCTGAGCATGGGTATTCACTGCTTTCTGCTTCTTGACTGTGGGGAGAATGTAACCAGATGCCCCGAGCTCCTGCTTCTGTGACTTCACCACCCCAATGGACTATAACTTCAAACCGTGAGTCACAATAAACCCTCTTCTCCTTTAAGTTGATTTTGTTGGGGTGTTTTATCACAGCAACAGAAAAGGTAACTTAGTCTGTGGCTCACAGGTGGAGAATCATTGTGACCTCTACTGAGCACTGGATTCTGGAGGATAACTTTCTCAGACTTAAGAAAGCATAAAGAGACGGGCTGATTTCCAACACAAGGAAGGAATGTGAGGAGGTCCCCACTCCCATCGGGTCAGGCTTTTTGTCATATATTTGCCAAGTGACATTAGGCAGGCTGCACATTTATGCATCTCAACTTTCTTAACAACTCCTAAGGGCCACCCTGACTCCTTCTTTAACAGGAAGAATGATGTGACTACTCAGGAATTATCCTTCAGGAGGAAGGCACCTGGAGATAAGAGGGAGAGAATCTGAGGTGTATATGAAACTGCAAGTGACCTCTGTTGGGTTTGCAGTGGAAACATATGAAAGCATGCTTTGCTCTTCACGCTTTGTTTTCTTTTAAACCACATGGTATTAAGATGGGAGGAAGGATAGCAACACCCCATTTCTTCCCTGAGTTTTGTCCTTTAAAGTCATACTCTTGGGAGTGTACCCAGGTATATTGAAAAACCTAGAGGTCATGGTGAAAAACGTGGCTTACCAGACTAGCAGTGGGATTAATTTTCTTCGTCTCCACTTTCTTCTCTGATGTCAGTTTGCTGACAGATGCCTGAGCCATTTTTAATCTGAAATAAAAATGGGAAGGGAGAGGTGAAAAGAAAGGAAGAGGAAAAACAGAAAAGGGACAGGGTTGAGTTAAACAGAAATCCTGACCCTTCTGAATGCAAAGGTCGGCGGTGAGTATTCTGAAAATCAGTTAAGTGTCCCATAACCACGGGGTTACATTCTGAGAAATGTGTTGTTAGGTAATGTTTTCACAGTGATACTTCCTCAGTGAATACCCACAAGTCCCAATGGGAAAGCCCACAACACCACCTAAAATATAAACCTGCAGGGTATGCTGTCTCACTGAATCCTGCAAGCAACTGTAACACACTGGTAAAGATTTGCATATCTGAACACATCAAAACAAAGAAAAGGCACATTGTAAATATTAAACACACCATTTTCCATCCATTATACTTTTCATAGACTGTTGTTTATGTGCTCCGTTGTTGGCCAGAATGACATTATCTGATATGTAACTGTAGCCAGGTGCTTTTACGTTTAAACTCTAGGTATAAATGCTTCTTTGCTTAACCACAACTCAGTTTTCACTGGAGAGCCCACTGAGATGAACAGGGGAGGCTGTGCTTTTGTGAACAATGTAATAGTTCAGTGTGCATAGGGCACCATTCAGTGTGCTCAGCCCACTATCTGCACAGGAGATAATGTTGAGACAATTTTGGAAAATGAAAAATTTGAGAAAACGTATGAACACTGTAAGTATCAAATTCATAAATTCACTGTAGTGAAGTGAAAAGACAACTTTAAAAATGTAAAGAAAAACTGGAAATCATATATCTGATATGGGGCTTTTGTCTAGAATAGATATGAATACTTATAACTCAAACAAAAAGATGAATTATGGTACCTACCAAATTAATAAATAAATTAATATATATGTAATTTAGTATGAACAAATATATTTACAATACAATCTCAATAATTTAAGCTCAGGGAACATCTAGGAAGATGGGGCAGAAAGATTGTAAGAGACAGAGGACCATGACATCTCCTGATAAGAAATAGCTCTTGCTGGGCGGTGGTGGCGCATGCCTTTAATCCCAGCACTCGGGAGGCAGAGCCAGGCGGATCTCTGTGAGTTCGAGGCCAGCCTGGACTACCAAGTGAGTTCCAGGAAAGGCGCAGAGCTACACAGAGAAACCCTGTCTCAAAAAACCAAAAAAAAAAAAAAAAAAAAAAAAAGAAATAGCTCTTCTAGGAACAAACAAATAAATACGAGGACACAGGGGTCGGGGAGTTGTGGGCAAATAAGATCAAGATATTTTGTTTTAAATTCTCCAAGAATTAATAAGGATGTTATTTTCTTGAAAAGATGAATTACTCTTTCCTCACAATGGGCAGAGATTCAAATAAACATTTCTTCACAAATGACATACAAATGGTTAATATGCACATGAAGAGAATTATAATGTCATTAATGGACTCAACACACATAAAAGTATCCAAAAGAAACTGGAAAGATACTAAATTACTGAGAGAGGTGATTTCTAGAAAGACAGGAGATGAAATGGGACTGAGTGATATACTAAGTAGAATTCCATTTTAAATGTATAACACTAACAATGCTTATTTCTTTAAAGTCTTAGAGAGTATATAACTCTAGGTGATGAGAACATGCGTTTTGCTTCTAAAATTTCCTCAAAATTCTAAAAACACAAAATGAACTATTTAAAGAAAAGATTGACCAATTCACAGGCGTTTAAAATTTAGCATTCTTTTCCCCTCAAGATTTCAAAGAAAACAATCTTTCACTTTATATTAATTGTGCGTTTGTTGTCGTCGACAAATAGCTGAGTGGCTTGACTCTTGGAGGACTTGATACGCGGTCTGGAGCATACATTCGCTAATCCAGTCTTCCTGTTCACAAGTAGAATGTAACTCCAATGAGTTCAACATGCTAACTGGTGCACCAGAAAGTAAATAAAAGTGAAACAAGCAGGAGTAATGTTTTGTAGAATCCAAGAAGAAATACATTTGCAAAACTGCCAACAGACAGCTGTGATAGGTCTGAGGGTCTATACCACACTGCCCACTAAAGTTCCCCATTTGAGGCAACAACTGTGACTGTCTCCAGCCAAGAACAGATTGTATTAAGTGGACCAAGTCCAGGTCAGACTACACTGGAGAAAGACCGTTAAGAGAGATTTTCCAACGTAGATGATGGAGATACAAATGAACCCTCAAGCATGTATTCTTCCTGGAGTTTTTCCAGTTAGGATTCTGTCCAAAGAGCAATTATCATTTATCTCATGGTCCGTAACTGGAAGGGAACATTTTTGGCTCATCTTTTGCTTTAATAGTTTCTTTCTACCTGTCAATTCTGGTCCCTGCTTTTGGAGTTGGTTTGCTACCTGGCTTCTGCTTAGCATCACCCTCCCACTTCCTGAGTGTCTCAGTGGCTCTGTGACCACTCTTTGCGTCCTCTGAATACCTGAGAATTGGAGCTGGGGGAGTCGTTGTGTGGGTTAAGAAATCACGAGGGATTGGGAACTAACCACAATCCTGTCCACATTGCAACACTCAACTAGGGGTCAGTTACATAAATGAACGTTTAATTGGGTAGAGTGAATTCTGTCCTCTCCTCTGACAACTGATTATGAGGTTCATATATCTTACCGTGTTGGGATCGTTTTTAACTACCTCCCTATCACAGCAGATTGGAACGTCTCCAAAGTGGGGGATACAATTTCATTGTCCCTATTCTCAGTATTTGCACTGTACCTGACATATAAGTGACTAATAGATAATAAATTATTGCAATCCATCTTTAAAGAAATTCAGGCATTAAGAACGGTGATGAAGGACTTCAGAGATGGCACAAATGGTAAGGTGCCTCCAATCATTGGTGCTTAAGTTTGGGTCCCCAGCACCCACACATAAGCCAGTAGTGGTGGCACACACCTATAACTGTAATGCTGGGATAGGGACAGAGACAGGAGAATCCCTGGATCTCAATGGCCAGCCAGTCTAGCCAACTGGTGAGTGAAAGACCTTGTCTTGAAAATGAAGGTGGAGAATGAACAATTGACAAAACACACTTGACACAGACCCATGGCCTCCACAGTCACACGTGCACACACTCACCCATGCATGTATATGCACACTCACATAAAGCACACATGCAAGTGGAAAATAAATGATAAAAATGAATAGCACTGAGGACAATATGCAAGAGTTCCTTAAATCGTAGGTGGCTACCACATCCTCAGTGTTCAAGACAGATCCTGCACAAAGCAAACTGGCAAATTCTTACTAGTCTGTATATCCTCAACAATAAAGTCCACAAACTTTGAGAGGGCCAGCACTGTGCATGAATATCAGGTACAGCAGGACCAATTCAGTTTGTGGCACTTCCCATCACCCCCACCACATTCTCAGCCAGAAGCTAGCAACTGGTCAGTGCGCTCTGCCAACTTCCTTGTACTGTTTGGTTTTCTAGTACTTAGCGCATTTCAGCTGTGTTTGTTAAACTTTTGGTCAGGAAACTTGGAGGAAGGCTACTATGGGAGACTAGACGAGAAGGGACGAAAGCCCAGACAACTCAAGTAGTGTTAAAATAAACTAGCTCCTTTCAAGCCATCCTACAAATTAAGATGACCCCAGGTTGTAATGCATGACTCTAAGAATATGGCTTCCTTTTTCCAACACTTTCAAATGATCCCCAGTCAGCTATAGCAGAGGTCAGCATATATTTTCCATCAAGGGTGAGAGAGTAACTACTTCAGACTGTGGGGCTGTATGTTGTATTGCAGATACTCAACTCTGTTATTGTAGTATAATAATAACACACATGGGGTGTGTGTGTGGGGAGGGGGGTCAGGCAATGCTATGCTCTAATAATATTCTTTTGTTTGTTTGTTTGTTTGTTTTTGAGACAAGATTTCTCTGTGTTGTTTTGATGCCTGTCCTATATCTCACTCTGTAGACCAGGCTGGCCTCGAACTCACAGAGATCTGCCTAGCTCTGCCTCCCAAGTGCATGGGATTAAAGATGTGCACCACCACTGCCCAGCTTTTTTTTCCCTTTTTTGATAATATTTTTTTATTCACCAACACTGGGAAGTAAATCAGATTTGGCTCATAGGCTATAATTTACCAATCTTTGAACTGTACTATATGATTCAAAGTCCTTATCTTAGCAGTCAAATTTCCTCCTTCTGGTCTAAATTTAATTTACAGTTACTTTTTTAGATCCAGACCTGTCTTCATATGACTATTATGCTAGTTTAGTTTAGATGGATGTTCTTGGACAAGCTACTCAACCCCTCTGACCTCAGTTTCCTCATCTGTTAGAAGTGGGTATGTTACTACACCTAAGTAATGTTGATGTAAAAACCAGAGAACGTTTTATACATGGCTATCTCCATCAGGTGGTTCTGTACATCAGTCAAATCAGGCACCATTCTTGTCTTACTCATGTGTTCAAACGCCTTCCATTCTTGTACTCCTGGCTTAAGTGCCAAAGTCATGAAAACTTCCTCCATTTCTCTTAACCAGAAGCAATTTCTCTTTTCTCAATGGAAAAGGCACTTTGGGCCTCTCTTGAGGTCCTTAGGACTTTTCATCTCAGAATTGTGTGTCTTATTTCTCTTCACACTAGAAGCACATAAGGCAATCCACGGGCCTTTTGCATACCGGGGATCCTCCCTGTTTCAATATCTATCCTGTGTCTGCACAAGTCAGTTCTTAGTACATACCTAAAGAATGGCTGTCTTCCCCTCTTAGTTTAAAACTTTACTTACTAGTAAACTTATTTTCTGCCGACTTTTGGGGGGGAACCCCAAACATTTAGAAGTCTAATTCTAGTTATAAATATGTAAGAGAAAAGGTACTATAGGCCTCCTAACATGTGCTAAATATTTATACATGCCAACTTAAGCTATACATGCCAAGATTCCTTAAGGTATGACAGTACTTTCCTCACAAGGCAACTGAGACTAGAGGAGGTATAACTGTCCCAGGTCAGGTGTTTCCCAATCTTACCCAGGAGGTAAAGACAT